TAGAATTATGTTTATGATAATATTGCATTCTCTGTTACGCTATGCGAAACTCCTATGTCAAATGAAGCATAAGAAACTACAATCAGTGAAAACACCTTATAAAAAAGTAAAGATAAAGTTGAATATCTATTAATGTTTTTCAAAATAGAATGATACCTACAGTGAAAGTAAAAGTAAAAAACATAACGTAACTCAACAATTTCATAAGCATTACTGTAACTTAAAATAATTGAGTCTATGATGGGTATTAACATGAAGCAGTATGCTGATTCCAGGAGACTAATTATTGTTTAAAAAAACCAAAACGTAAGTACGCCGTTTCAGTGGACCTTGCTTGTATAATTATAGCCTTAAATTATGGGAAAGATAATATTTGGAGTCTCGTTACTAAAACAGTTCAAAAACAAAATCCCTTATTGATGTTCTGCTTATTATGAATAGGTTAATACCTTTGAAACTCCCCTACATCAGTTATTTTAGTAGCATAACAGGTAATAAATATTTAGTTATTCTAGTTCGATATCTAATACTTCTGAAATTGTTATTCAAAACCAAACATCAATATCAAACCACTAGTTTTCTTCTGAAATTTCCATACAACAAAACTTTGAGCTACAAATTAGTGGCACGTTTAACTATTCAAAACGAAGTAACGCACACTGAAATACATATTGTACTTACTACATTTATAAAAATGAAAGGAAAACAATAGTGAGAATGAAAATGTCAACTACAATGGATAAACCAAAACAACAATGAGGAAGACAAAAGTGCATGTATCATTATATTAAAGTCAAATTATTATGGAAGGTTTACAATATTCATAAGAACTGAATTAAACTAATGCCTTATGTAGAGATGAATTAGTAGAATAATTTGGAATAATCAACTTCAAGCCATCACTATAACATGAACTTGTAACATATAATCTACTGGATTGCAACTTCATTTGTTATGACTAATATACTTATTTACGCTGAGAGTAGAACATTTTACTAGATGACAGTCTCAATAATTCATCAGTCGAAGTCACTTTGTAGTATAATAAAAAGTACTAATCTTCAATAGGCCATCACAGGTATTTCTCATCAACTGATCAGTTCATACTATTTTAGCCGTGATAACTTCACCAGAACCGCTGGATATCAACAAGCCAGATGAGAAGTTTGAGAGAGCTTTTATTTCAGGCATAATTAAAAAGCAGATCAAATTTGCAACGAGCAGAAAAAGTATGCAAATTCATTTCACATGGCATAAATTAATAATCCTTGAGAGTTTAACGAAATGTTCAAGGTATACAGAATCAGGCTATTACACTATATTCAGATATCAAATGAACCGGTCACTTTAATTAATCTTAATTCAATCCATCAAGTAGATTACCTGAAGGACAGTATTTGGTTTGATTATAATCACCCTTTACCAGTAATATAAAATTCTAACATAATCAATAACCTATTTCGATACCATATGATAAATTGGTCACGCACACTCGTTTATCATATTTTTATTTGCTAATACTTCCCATTCATACATTTAAATACTAAATTTGCTTTCTATTTTGTAGCAATCTACAATCAATGAAATCGGGGAACATTTCCAAAAAACATTATGTCATCACCGGACAAAAAGTGAAGAAATAATAACAATACCCCGTCTTAATTCAATAGATGAATCTTTATTAACAAAATGTAAAGAAATATGTAAAATGAACCATACAAACCCTAGTGGAATGACAACTTATAACATAAACAGTGGTGATCAATTGAATAATACTTCTACAACATTTCACAAAGTCACATCATTGTAATTGGATTGTATTAGGGATATTTTTTAGTGAAGAGATAAAACGAGTGCATAGATGATAAGCGGAAATGTAAACAGTGATAACGCTAAGAGGAGTTGAACATGCTACACTAAGGATGACCTTGAGAGACTGTAGTTAGAAATTTTCTGTGATAGAATAACCAGGATGTTTTTTTATATATACTTCTATGTATTGTTGCCCTATCATGCAAATTTGTATAGACTCTAGAAACTAAACTTATTCAATGCTTTAAGGTAATGACTTTAGTGATGCCTGGCAGTGTATTGGTTAGGTAGTTGTGTTTATCATGAGCGATTAGATTTAAGATGTTAACTTACCTCTCAAATCGACCCTTCTTCGAATACATATGATCCTGTTATAAATGTATGCACCAATCGATTATTCAAAACTGATCATTTGTTCTCTGATTTCTAAGCTACCACTTTCAGACGTCAATTTTTAGATACTATCTTTACATGGTTCTTCCCGTTTCATTTTTTTTATTGAATCGATTGTACATTTTGCCGAATACCTTAACTTTGATATTGTCATATATGAGCATATTTTTACTTATAAACTATATAAGTAGTTTTAAATTGACGTTTAAATGAACAGATTTATAGCAATAATAATATCAATAGAAACTTCGTTTGTCAGTCATTGTGTGATCACTTTTAATACTCTTTTCTTCACGTTATTTATTCTAGATGGAATATTAAAATCATCAAAGTACCTGTGAAATCATAGGACGAATAAAATATGTATTTTGGGTAGCTATGAAATTCAAAACATGCGTCTCGCACTATTCGGGGATCCACCAGTCCTTAGCATCAACAACAGGATAAATCTAGCACATGCCAACAGCGATATACAATATCTTTTGTTAGTAGATTTTAGGTTTGTTTAGAGATTAGAATGATCGCCTTACCTGAGTGAACACAGAAATGGCAATCTAACATGGAGTACAGTAAAAGAATAATAAGTGAAGTAAAATAACATGAATTCATTTTGTTAATCGTCATCAGCTAGTTACATAGCTAGAATTAACGAAACACATGACTTGAACTACAAACCTACAAAATTATTGGTCTAATGATGCAATAATTAAGTTTATTTCTATAATTTATAACAAGAATACATTCAACAATTATTTGTACTGATGGATGGTGAACTGATTGTTGGAAATTATATAATTTATTCAAATATCTGTATTCGTTGATGATAGTATTGAGTTCTCTGAACTAGGTTCTCATCAACTCATTATAATCTATAATATTCAAAAATCAAAATTGTAATGTAGCTTGGAAATTATTATGGTAAATATCTGAATAAGGTTAAGAGATGGAATAAAATATTACGATGTCATATGGAGGATACTCGAGAATATTGAAAGCAAAACAACAAACCAAAGGGGCTAGAAATAAGTGATCATGTAGTGAACAAAATCTCAAAAGAATAATAAAATAAATGAAGTTAAGTCAGTTTGAAGTAAACCTATCGAAAGAGAACCAGGAAACGATGCGAGGAAGTGATCAAATGAAGGGACGTTAAAAATCTAGGTTACCCTGACGCTTGTTTTTGAACACAAGTCAATTTTTTATGCTTGATAGCAGAAGCTTGAGGAGATTTTAGTAGACTAGAGTTTGGTTGCTTACTAACCAATTTGGAATATCATATAAAGTCCACCTGTCTCGTGCCCGAGAAACGCTTAGAAATTACTGTACTACGACACATCTTTATTTTTATTGAACGAAGACTTCTCGGGATATGATCTGAAGACTCTGCTAAAGAAAATAATGCCTCTTAGGGAAATTTCTAGGAGCCTCTCAGATGCAGTACATCAAGTGAAACCGTAGTGCCATTACAGACATAATTGTTGCTAAAATGAAAGAGGTATCTGTCAACTCTTGATTGCACATGTTTTACACAGGATTATAAGTTTGGCTTCGGGGTAGATTTTATAGCATCCAATGCTAAGCCTTCTGCTAAATTTTGACTGATCGAAACTCAGATGGATAAAGGCGGCCCCTTCTAATGACGAGCTTCTTTCAGATTGTCTTTAATTTTTTTATGTCTAACAATAAACACTATATCTGGGATTTTCGAAACAGAGTATGCGCGAAGTCTCGCAAAACTGTAGACGACATTTTTGAAAGAACAATTATATGGTTTTTGAGTAACAATTAAAAAAATTTATAACCTATTGAGTTTAGAACTAAACAAAATAGAGAATGAATCTGCATATGGACTCCAATTTCATATCCTATAAGACTAGTGATAAAATGGATGCTAGAGCTCAATAAACAAACTTTTTGACAGGTTGAAGGACTGGAATTCAGTAAATGAGAACAATAAGGGTTGGTTTCAATATAAATTAGTCGATATTGGTAACCACTACTTTACCTCACCTACTTCAGACTTGAAAATACTGTCCAATGAACACGAAATTTGATTGCCACACTTACAAAACAAAGACAAGACAATAATATTGCAGCCGAATAAAGGTTATCAAAATTTGGTCCATTTTAAATGACTAGCATAGACAAATATAGCAAACTTGACTAATTCAAAGGAGAAACGAATCACTGACAACTCTACGTATAGTTATTAAAGGCCTAAGTGGTTTTATTTGCCATACATGTGTGGTCTATCAAAGATACACATATCGAACATCCCACTCAGACCGATATAATTAATGATTAATTCAGCATGACAGAAGATAACCCACTATCTAAAAGAGATGTGAGAATTACTTCATCAACAACTAACTGTATACACCTTGAAGAGTGCTATTTGATCTGTTGAGAGATTGGATAGCATTAGCATCTCTAGTAAATTAATTACTTTCTTTGTTATATCCCTTTTTACCAAAATAACTCTTCTTGAAACCACTGACGTTAAGTGTGATAATTCTGAACTTTTGTATTTATCAGTAACAAAGTTCAAATAATTACTACTTATATCCATGTAAAATGATCACTTTCACCGACACGCTGTATAAAATCTTAATAAAATATATAGAGTTAAATATACAAAAAATATTTCTAATTCTACTTTTAATGGCAACAGTAGGAAGTTGTTCCAGTGAACGAAGATTTGTCAAATAAACTACACAAATTTTTCAGATACCAATTAAATTTAGGGAGTAAAATAAAAGAAATCCATCCATCAATATAGACTAACTACTAAAGGTAAATAATATTGTAGTTTATATTTGACTGAAAATGAACAGATTACACAATAAAAGAGTAGTAATCCACTATACATATGTGAACATATAAACATACGAAATGTTAGTCTTTGTATGCATTCATTTTTTCTGTAATATTTTGTACTATCTCCTGTACTGGTTTAACTTGTCCATAATAGTCGGAGAACTGTCCTTTCGGATCCAGTAAGTACATTATAACAGTGTGGTCAACCTATCGATATTAAATGTGAACAAATCATAAATATAATTTAAAGTAATATTGTGGTGTAGGTTACTTATATCCATATAGGTGGTGTATAACAGTGGCCAGGCAGAAGATAGATAAGGAAAGAACGAAACGGAACGCAATCGGTATGAAAATACATGAACAATGAAATCTGAGACAATGGGTTGATATTTGCAAAAGGAACAGTGAAGTTTGGGACGATGGATTGATATTATAGCACCTCACGTGCAATTGAGTTTGTTCTCATTTAATTCGGTTAAGCCCTTTTGTTAACTTATTTAGCGGACAGAGTCATCCGTACTATAAAAACTTATTGTGCAATTATTATTGTTGTGCTTGTGTGAAATATGTATGCTTGAACATTGCTTACCGCCTACGCATATATTCACTCTGCTAGCTTCATTATTAGCTGCTTAACTGGTCCGATGATCCATTCGTTTCCTTATATATGTATATATATATATACATTTAAACCTACACACTCTACACTCTCGACTCGCTGACTCACTCACTTTGCTTCTCTGCTTTGTGGTCTGAGTTATCTGCTAATAAAACTGTAGTCGCTGCTTCTTTTTGCCTTCTGATTTCAAACACCGTTGAGGACTATATGACAACGGTTACGAGGTTGATTGGTTAAGGAAGCACAGCCACTACAATATTTTACAAATTAACTATTTACTATATGGTTTTCAGATTTTAGTGAGATGCTCTGTAATTTCGTGTCAAGTACATTCGATTGTCCCCACTCGTGTTTTGGTTCACTACAATATCTCAGATCTGTAACAAAAACACTAAGAGCTTGAAAGCCAGCTCCAGAAATTTTTATTGATCGTTTCTTAAGTTGAATTAATTAAGATAGATCAATGATAGAAAAAATATGCTTGTCCAGTGTATCAAAGATTAATTCTTGATGTTTGTATTTACTGATAAGTGCACATGAGTTGTTCCCATATCGTTAGTTGATTCATATAAGAAAGCCCCCAAATGCCCTGGTACGGCTGAGAGTGGGGAGAGTCCGCTCTCCCTCTCGAAATACTCTCACACGGCCACGCGTATATAGCCTCTGCCAGGGAAGTCCTACTCACTGCCTTCTCGTGGCGGGGGTGTTGTTTACGAAAATGAGAGGACGAAAAGCGAATGTCCGGCGCTTTAACCGGATCCCAAATCAATGGTGCACATGGGCACCAGTATCCTGCGGGAACAAATGGCGAATGAACCAATTGTTGGTCACCGGCTTCCATGGGACTGCATCTCCTCACGATGCTCCACTGCCTTGTGGATCAGACCTTCAGGTCGAAGGCTCGGGGAGTGGCCCCCTAAGAAAACCACCTGCTCCGGTTTGGGCACCCGGGCAGTATCACAGCCCTCACACATATCGAATGAGATTTGTGTGGCGCATATGTATTTGGTGCCTCTTTGTACCATTATCTATGTGTTGAAATAAATAAATACATATAAGAAAATAAAGCATTCAAACGGATACATAGTAGAATCCACCTTTTCCACTTAAATAGTAAGTTGTTTGCAGGTACAAAACTCCTGGCAATTTAAAACAATCTTATTATTCAACAGACTGATTATCGCACAGTAAGACAATATCATCCGCATACTCAAGATCGAAAAGTCTTTCTCCAGGCAACGGGTCCATACTATCATTATCTACATCCATCAGGGCTGTTTCCAGAACGTCATCGATAACAAAGTTGAAGAAAAACAGTGAAATTAGAGAAATCTGCCTAACCCAACTATTTGAATGGAACGATGGAGAGGTAGTTGTATGCCATAACTCTGTCTGATGTGCCCTTAAGGACGTTAATAAATTTTTCAGGCACACCCTTCTTCAATAAATAATCCCAGGGAACAGGTCTGTCCGAAGAATCGAAAGCGGCACTGATGTCAAGAAACACTACGATTGTTGGCCTGTAATAGGTAAGACGCTGTTCTACAATTTAGTGTGGGGGTGAAATTATAGGACAGCTGACAGATGCATTCCAAGTAAGGACCGGAGTCAGACAAGGCTGTTTACTCTCTCCCTTCCTTTTTCTTCTGGTGGTCGACTGGATTATGAGGACCTCGACATCTGAAGGAAAACACGGAATACAATGGACAGCTCAAAATCAATTAGACGATTTGGCCTTCTCAGATGACCTAGCCCTCCTATCGCATACACACGAACAGATGCAGACAAAGACAGCCATTGTAGCAGCAGTCTCTGCATCAGTAGGCCTCAGCATACACAAAGGGAAAACCAAGGTCCTCAAATTCAAAGCGGAAAACAACAATCCAATCACTCTTGATGGCGAAACTCTGGAAGATGTAGAACCATTCACATACCTGGGAAGCATCATCGATGAACAAGGAGGCTCAGCTGCAGACGTAAAGGCAAGGATTGGCAAAGCAAGGATCGCATTTCTACAATTGAAGAACATATGGAACTCAAAACAACTTTCAACTAATATCAAAGTGAGAATCTTCAATACCAACGTCAAGGTAGTTCTACTGTATGGAGCTGAAACTTGGAGAACTACAACAACCACCATCAAGAAGGTACAAGTATTTATAAATAGCTGTGTTCGCAAGATACTCAATATCCATTGGCCAGATACCATCAGCAACAGCCTTTTGTGGGAGAGAACAAATCAGCTTCCAGCTAAAGAAGAAATTAGGAAAAGACGATGGAAATGGATAGGACATACATTACGCAAATCGTCAAACTGCATCACGAGATAAGCACTAACTTGGAAACCTGAAGGGAAGCGGAAAAGAGGAAGGCCTAAGAACACATTACGTTGGATAATAGAAGCAGATATGAAAAGGATGAATAACAACTGGAAGGAGCTAGAAAGGATTGCCCAGGACAGGGTTGGATGGCGAATGCTGGTGAGCGGCCTATGCTCCTTCACGAGGAGTAACAGGCGTAAGTAAGGGTGAAATTATGATCAATACGTCATCCACGGGAACGAAAACCAGCCTGCTCCTCGCGAGTTAATCTTACTCGGGTTTGGAAAATCTAAGTATGACGTAAGCCATTAGTTTGGATGCAATCGGAAGTAGACTTATCCACCGATAATTGTTGTAAAGATGATGTGAACCCCTTTTAAAGATAGGTACAACTATCAACTCATCCCACGACGTTGGAACACTAACTGCCAGACACTCGTAAATAACTCAGTTTATTAACCAGGTCTCCACCATTTTTAAAAAGGTTGTATCTTTTCACTTCTGCAGCAATTTGGATGACTCTCCCGGTTCCCCATATTGTACGAGCATTCCATGTGCCTAAATTAACGGATGCTCCGGTTGTCGGAAGGGCCATCAGCCTTGTGACTTCCGAAGGAACTCAGCTTTCACCATGAGGCGTCATAACTTTTCTAAATGAAGACCTTCTAACTCCCAGGGCAGAGTTTAAATTTTTTTGAACTATTTTTTCTGGTAAGCGTTCTTTAGCGGGTTAGTTTTTTACGGGATGGGGTAGCAAACCGTATGCCCACCCCACCACCGTTTATCCAGGCTTGGGACCGGCAGTAACCCCATGGGGGCTCCGACGGAGTTATTTTTAATAAAGACCGGAGTTAAGTCAATCAAGCCTGGTTATTTGAGGTGCTTCAAGAATTGGAGTTCTCTGAAGACTTCTGCCTCGTTAGGTGGATCAGTTGTTACCTATCGTGAAGGGCAGGAAAGTCTGGTCGATGTCACCGAGATAGCGGACCAGCTGAACTTCTTGAAAAACTCTGCCCATCGTCCAAGACATCGGGAGCAGTTATTGTTCGGGATCTCATCAGCTTCACGAATTTTTTCCACGCACGTCAGACTTCTTGCTGCCAGCGATTTGAATGATTTGAGAGCCACTCAACACCCAAAACCTAAACACCTCCACAATTTCATAAAACCAAAACCATTTATCAATACTTTAAACATTAATTCATCATATATGCTACTCGTAATACGCATTCGATGTACTGAATAACCACTAAACACCAAAAAAACTCACAATATAATCGCCATCTGCATCTTTTGGTCCTGCACTGTAATAAATACGATAGAGCTTAGAAACTTTATCAATTTCTTCTTTAGTACCGGTCAGCCCGATCAGACGTGGTGAAAATTCTACAGCCAAAAACGAGAAAGAAAACATAATTTTATCATTAAAATGAGATCCTACCACTTACAATAAAAACAATTAATCCCATTATTATCTAGTTGACCCAGTTACAGAAGTTACTATAGTCAATTATACAGTGACTCATTACTTATTGTACTCATAAAACACATATGTTGACACTGCATATAAAATTGTAGGGATTTAAAATAGGAGTCAATGAGTTACACTTGTTGAAAGTATTGCATACAGTAATACGTACGAATTTAGGCAATACTAGGCACCATATATCATGTCCAATACTCACCAAATAAAATAATTGCTCTTCGGGGTCCCTTTGTATTATAATAGCTCAAGTGAAAGTATTGGTTGTAAGAGATTACAATTAATCAAGACTCTCGATGGTATTAGAATTATTATGATGACAGTAGTGAACAAATCATTTTCACTGGCTTTTGATGTCATGAAAATTTTGGTACAATAGGACACTGTAAAGTATATTATACAGGGTGTACCATGCTGACCGCTTATTACGAATGACACCTTATAATTTGCACACTTTCGTAAAAAAAAGTAAAAACAATAATATCCCTCAAGTGCTTGGCTTAAAACTACTCAAAATCATTGGTTGAAGACATGAATAAGATTATGATTTCACTTAATGCACTAGAAATAACTAAATTCAACTTATGGTTTGTCTTTGATTAAATACTATTACCTGTGGTACTTCGAACGTTAACCTTTTTGAACAAATGAGCTGTTTTCAGGTTTTATATAGTTTTTTTCTATTTATCTTCACTCCTACTACATTGAATAAATGAATGTAAATAGTCACAAATCGCTTTTAGATAAGAAAAATGATGGTTGAAATTTCATCTTTTTGTTCATGATTAAAACTTGACTGACAATTTGCTACATTTAATAATACAATATGAAATGCTAGACTTTGGATAATTAAAATTAATTTGCATTAGGACTCATACTCGAGTATTATAACTGTTCATATTCACCAGTAAGATTTATATGCAATATTGAGCTTCATAAGTTACCAAGGATTTTATCGCACACTACTACAATAAGTGTTACCACTGAACGGCTTAAGATATTACAGCGAAAATAAATATCTTACAAAATGACACCAGAGTCCTGTAAAATTAACAACCCTTTGTTTATTGCTAAATAGTACATTAAAATACAATAAATATAAGATGAAAACTTATTACCTTTAACGTATTTGGCTAAAATATCTGGGGTATCACGTTCGCTGTCGACAGACATGAATACAGGCACTAAGGGATACTTGGGTTTTTCAATAAGCACTGTGAGAAAAAGCATATTTGTGATGTTTAAAGAACTGGTAGTATTAAAATATAGGATGGGTCGATGGTTTATAAAACTGAAAAACTAGGTTTCACAATGAATGCAACAATCACTATCTTAATTCAAGTTTTTTTTACAGAAAGGAAGGTTTTGATGAAAACTAAAAAATGATGCTTATCTAAATGTTTTTAGTTTTCCATATTTCTTCAACTGATGTTTAAAAACTTAAGTGTAAAGTTGCCAAATGGTTTGATTTGGTATTTTTATACATACGAGACGAGAAAACTAGATTAGCCCATTGTGTTACTGAATAAAAGTAGAATCCAGTGAAGAGAATTTTCGTCATGTCTGTTTAGTGAACAATTGTCGCCCATATTCATAACCTAGAAATTATTTTCATCCTCAGATGATTTGTAGCTTATTTGGATGATTGAGGTTTGATGTCGGATGCTTTTATTATTCCCTCTAAGATCTCAACATCTTCGCTTCTATCAAAGCATGTGGACAACTGTGGACACACATATGAGAAGTTTTAAAAGCTTGACGCTTAGGTCGATCAGTAAATAACAAACACATTGAAATCGATCCAATCTATTAACCAATCAGGCGAATCATGGACAAATATAGGATCAAGAATCGAACCAAAGGTAGATACAATCAAAATAAACAGGTAGGCAATGACAAGTTAAAGATCAATAATAACCAAACAGGACCGAGATCGACAGGGTAAGCTGTGTCATACGTAAAAAAGTTCAAACAACTCACGTTTACTTGAAGTTTGTGCTGACGTTGTTCAGAAGAACAACCGAAGCTGCATGGCCAAACCATCCAGCTCAAACAACAACACTCCAACTATTTTCATCCTCCTATTCTTCTCTAACCCCTTGATTATTAGGCAACATTTCAACATTTGAAATCTAGGATCACTTTATAATGTAATCACTCTTTCTATAGACATATATCAAGCAACGAGCAATCACGACAAGTCTAGTGGGATATACACTCATTTATATATTGGTTTGTACACCCATGCTTGACTAATAATCAGAATAAAATCACATATATGAAAAATACTTAGTTAACAAACTATATGCTGAGTATAATTCATGTTATGCAGAATAAAATGTCATAGGGGAAAACGAAACAAATACTATACTGAATGATTATTAAATTGAATTTAACGGAATCAATGTTGAATAAAAATCATAATGAGTAAATTAATTTAATATTGACTTTTCATCACATCTTAGCATTAAGCAAAATGATTTTGTCGAATATGATGATGCTTACACTAAAACAATTGCGTCCAATTTTCAAAAAACAAAAATGTTTTGTAATCACAGCTTATAGATAATTAAATGATTTGAACAACAATATACCACACAAGAATGAAGATAATTTGGTGGATTGATAGTCTACTATCCTCGAGTAAGACAATGTCACCATTATTACCTTAAAATAAGTACCTTAAAAAGCGATCTTATTTATTCTTTACGAAAATAAGAAATGATTACAATCACTTTACCATAGCAATACAAAAATAGCATTTCAAATAAATGAACCTTTTTTAGTAGACCTAAAATCCCGAAATACGTTTTGGTTAAAGTATAAAAAATCCTATGGAAAATATGAGAGACCTATTGACTCAATGTGGTGCCAAAATAAACCATAATATTAATGAAATCAGCTCTTAAGACCATAGAACTACACTAGACAAGATTGCAAAATTACATACTATGCAAAATTACATACTATGCAAAAAAGATGGTCACATTAAATAAAATTACTTAAACATTTTTTAGCTTACTTATTCTGTCAGATACTTCCACGAGTCTCTCTATTTGTTCTGGGCATATATCTGGACATCGGCAGAATCCAAAGTACAACAGAACCCATTTTCCGCGGAAATCAGCTAATTTACATGGGTTTCCATTATGATCAACCAAATTGAAATCGCCACCAATAGATGGCAGACCATATTTTTCTTGTGATATTTTTTTGACTAAAATGTTAGGAACAATAAGTTGAACGTTCGTGACAGTTGATTGTGATTTTTAATTATCATCCAACAATTTAAAAACATCCAGAAAAATCGACACGTAAGTTTTGACAAACTGGCAGATGGAACCCATAAACAGGGTTATTCACAAATCAGGTCAAAAATATTTTCGACACGATGCTGAGGTACATTTATAAGAAGTAGAAATACTTGATTAACTGTGTGAAGACCGAATTAGTTTGAGAAATAGTGGACGGAAAGATGAGTAGAGAGTTACTTATTATCAGCTAAAGATGTATAAGTGTCTTATTAGCTTAGGCAACTAATTTCCAACATATTCTTTGGAGGTTCTCCTGCATACAATGAACTCAAGAGTTGGTAGTCCAAATTTGAGCATCACCTGCAAGGTGCCGAAACAAATAACTTTGTTTAGTAAAACCAACATTGTCAACTCTATACATTAAGCTACTCACCTTAAACAAAACCTGATTAATTTTCAAGGTTTTTACCTTATATTTCCATCCTTAATAAACGTTTATAAAATACTGTACCAACCACCCGAAATATATTCACTACTTATTATTTATTTGAATATAAATATTGGTACAAAGCGGTACTAAAATATATATGCGCCACAAAAATCAGTGAATATGTGGCCCGGAATACTGTCTTGGTGTCAAAACCAAGGCAGGTAGTTTTCCTAGGGGGCCACACCCAGAGCCTTTGACCTAAATGTCTAATCCACAGGGCAGTGGAACAACGCTAGGTGCGAACTCATAGTAGCCGGTGACCAAGAGTGAGGTCAGTCACCATTTGCTTCCTTAGGATCCTAGAGCCCATGTGCACCACTGGTTTGAAATCAGGGTTTTCCAACTCTCTAAGGTGTGTCTTCCGTAACCATAAACGCCGTTTAAGAAACCGGATATTCGCACCTTAAGTCATTCACCCGCAACGGCAATGCTATGTGACTGTTAACATAATGACATTGAGAATTACACAAAAGGTAGGATAATAAGAAGCCACATATGCTTACTATGCACCCGATGACATTATATATAGCAGTGGGTGAAATGAATGAATGACAGGACAAAAATTTTAATTAGTGTACTTAGATCCACAAAATTAGTCACTAACCTTTGGCAAGGTCTTTTGTAAGTAAGACTGAGCCTACAGTGAATGACCCTGCAAGGAAAACGAAAGAGCACCACTGTATATAACGCATCTTCTGGAAAGTATACACTGATAGGATGAAAAGAGGCCTACATCTTCTGAACTAAGGGTTGACCTGAACCTGGCAGGAATGAAGCCTCGAGACAAAAGTTTGCTGAACCCTTTGATCATTCCCATTAATTAAGTTTACCTCGACACCCTCAAAGACTTTAAGCAGTAAGACAGGACATGCATATCTTATTGATTCGTATCTTGCGCACAGTGATCACCTTCAGATTCAGATTTCAGATTGAGATTTGTACAGTAAGGACAGAAGGCCTACGGCCTATGTTATTCATTTTCTAGTATGCTTCTGTGAGTGTCCAGTCTTCTCTTGAAAGTGTCAATTGAAGGTGCAGACACCACTGCTTCAGCAGCAGGTTCCAAGTATTGATGACTCGGTATGAAAACCTGTATGCCACTGGTATTTTGTTCGTTCTTGGTTTTTCTACTCGCGTGCTATGTCCTCTGAGATGTCCTGATCTAGTGGGAGGAAAAGGAGAGAATGAGTCAGGTCCAAAATCATTTCTCAGTATTCTGTACATCAAAATTAGATCTCCCCTCAGTCTGCGATAGGACAGAGTAAAGAGGTCCAGCTTTTCAGGCCGCTCTTTGTACGGTAAACCCCGGAGTTCTGGAATTGCACGGTTAACTGCCCTCTGTACTTTTTCTAGGATATCCGAGCCACCTTTTAAACAGGGGCTTGCAGTCTGAACGCAGTTCTCAAGCTTAGTTCTCACTAAGGATGTGTATACTGTGGTGAACATGGTAGTATCTAACTTAGTGAATGTCCGTTTTAAAGCCCAGAGGGTCCGAAATCCCTTAGCTGCGACCTCCTGGCAATGGGCCGTCATCTTAAGATCATGATCCACTGTCACCCCTAGATCTTTATGAGATCGGACTACTGGTAATGAAACATCCCCTATGTTGTATCTATTAACCTTTGAATTTCCAAAGTGCATGTAGACACACTTTTCCGCGTTGATAGGCATCAGCCACTCTTTAGACCAGTTTATCATATTATCTAGGTCTTCCTGAAGAGTAAATGCGTCTTTGTCTCCAGTTATTACTCGCCAAATGTTTACATCGTCAGCATATAATAAAATTGGAGACTGTACTATACTAAGATCATTAACGTACATCATAAAAAGTGAAGGACCTAGGACGGAACCTTGAGGCACTCCACTAAGTACTGGTCTCCAGGTGGAGCACTTGGAATTTATTCTTACTTTCTGCCTACGACTTACTAGGAAATCTTTAATCCATTTTAAAAGAGATCTGGCAATACCAAGGTTTTCCAACTTCAATAGCAGTCTATTAGTTGACACCTTGTCAAAAGCCTTACTGAAATCTATGTAGACAACATCCACTGAGTTTCCGTTGTCTAGCGCATTAATCCAGAACTTGCTATAAGGATGTTTGTTGTACAAGATAGACCCTTTCTAAAACCATGTTGTTCCATGTTTAGCATGTTATTGGTTTCCATGGATGCCATTATGGTACGTTTGATTATTCTTTCCAATATTTTAACCACAATACTAGTGAGGCTTACAGGTCTGTAATTTGATGGAACTTGTCGTGGACCTGTTTTATGTATGAAAGTGACGATTGCGTCCTTTCATTCAATAGGTAACACGCCTTGGTCAAGTGACATATTGAATATCACAGTCAGTGGGGCCGCGTTATATTGTGCAATATGTTTCAAGATTTCGGGGTGTAGTTCATCTTGTCCTGTTGACTTTTCCATGTTTAAAGTGCTAAGAGCCTTAAAAACATCGTCTTGATTGAAGTCCACGGTGAGCAGGTGGTTTGTTGACTCTGTATTTGGGTCTGGTTCTTTCTCTAGAGGAGGTTCCTGAGTGAAAACTGCCCCAAAATAGTCCGCCATAGCCCCTGCTTGTTCATGATCTTCCTCTATCACTTCAGTTTCACTACCTTCTTTAATTAGGTTGGGAATCCAATGATGCGTCCTTGTTCTGTAGTTTATGTACCAGAATATTCTCTTAGGCTGCTTGGGTGCAGCTGCATTTAATATTTTCTTTGAGCTTCCCGAATTTTTGTTATACGCTTGTTTCTTATCGATCTGTGGCGTTCTATCGTACCTGCTGTGCCAAGGCGGATGGCAACATCTCAACATTTCTTCTTTTGTCTTAGCAAACATCGAATATCCTGGCCTATCCAGGGATAGCCGTGCTTCTTCTTCTTCTTTAGGACTATCCAGAGTATGTATGGTAGAGTTACCCGATTGTATAACTGCCTGAAAAGAGTCCATGCCTCTTGTACTGATGCTTTTCAGTCAAGTTCCCAGTTTTTGGCCGATGCTGCGGAGTTGATTGCCTCCACATCTGCCTTCCATATGTTAGGTCGGGTCAGTGCAACTGTTTGACAGGCAATCTCAGCCATGAATTTAAATAAGATGACTGCACGATCACTTCTCCCTAGAGGTGGGAGGAAAGTCATTTCACCAACGTCATCACCGTGTGTGAAGACTAAATCTAAAAGAGAAAAGTTTCTTAAGTCATATCTTGTAGGATTTCTAATGTGTTGGAATAAAGATAACCCAGTTGAGGTGTCTAACGATTTGCAGTCGAAAGATGTTATCGATGACCCTACTTCTAAGTTAACCTAGTTTATATATATATATATATAGTGCATTAAAGTCGCCTACTACAAGGCTTTACCCTTGCTACACCAGGACTTAAGTTTACTTAGGAGAAAATCATCTGCTACACATTCTGGAATGCGATATACCACAACTAATTCAATATCTTGCCTTTGACATTTCAGCTTACGTCGCACCAGTTCACATGTCCCTGAAACATGTGCTACTGTCTCAGCTAATCTTATGCTTAGGGTACTTTTCGTGTGCATATAACCCCGCCTCCTCTACGATTCAGTCTATCAGCCCTACTGGTTAAAAAACCAGTCAACTGGATTTCACTATCTAATACTTCTGACGTTCACCAAGTTTCCGAGACAGCAATAAAGTCCGGTTTTTCTTTATCCACCACCGCCATTTTATTTAGTAGGATGCGAGCATTTGTTTAGCATACTTTTAAGTCTGTGAAGTACTTTCCCTTACCATCCAGAGTGGCTTGTGATCGTTTTGCTACGAACTTTTACAATTTAAAAACCCTTAAGAACGAGGTTTCTTTCACCGTTTTGGCAACATCCATTTATTTCCGCTTCTGCAGCTCGTCTCTTAATACGATCAGCTAGGCTGAGATCCTCTCGTACGCATATTCCGGATTCAATCGGTTTACGTGAATTACCTAGAATCAGGTCCCTTTCTTCAACCGTGACAAATGTGACCTTCAAGAGGTGGTTTTTCCGAGGACTTTCAGAATCCACCTTTTGTCCTGTTCTATAAAACTTACAAATACTAACTCCTGAAACTGTATCTGAGAGTAGTTTACTTACTAAGGACTTGTTATGATTGAAATCGTGTTCAAATCTAGCCTTCGGTTCTTTATCGAAAGATTCTCATAAGTTATAAAATATGACCGATCTCTCAGAGAGATCTGTCTTGACACGCAGTGAAATTTTTGTTTCTGAAACCGTCTCTTTCAATAGCTTGTTGACCAGCTGTGTTTTGCCCACAGATTTTTTCTTCTTATTTCTTTTACTCCGTACTGAAGTCCATTTCTCACCACTCAGGACAGCTACACAGGGACTATTTTGGGCTGTGACAGTTTTATTCGGGTCTTCAATTTTGACTAGAGGTGTATGATTGCCGATGTCAGTTCAACAATTGATCAGTACGGCAAGGTTCAGATGTGGTCGCTATATATCTTAATCCTTTCCATATCAAACATATTATTTTATCCTCAACCTGGACGTAATCCTTCAGTAGTCCAGAACACCATACTGCTGATTTTAACGATAACAAGTGTCAGTAAAGGCGGTAATATTTATTCCACGTAAGATCCTAAGGATTATGTAGTCACATCATGGCAAATCTACAATTTGGGGATTAAGTCTGCTATCATAGTAGCAAAAATAAATGTACTAATACCGAACTAGACCATAATTCGTCAATGTTAGTACAATTGTCGCGAGGTAGTTGTTCGGAACTGTTAATGGTAGTAATAACAAACAGCAGTCTGTTACGTGAGGCATGCCAGTTTACAGGCAAGATCAAATCGTTACAGGAGATACAGTCTTCACTGTGGTTGGTTACTCAGTTTGTTCAATGTTTTATAGGGTACATTGATCACAAAAGTGTTTAGAGATTTCTCAGTTTTAGCAGTGGTGTAGAATGGATTTAATTGGTACATAAGAACTTGCTTTTAAATTCGGACAAGTTACTCCAAAGTATTTAGGCGCTGAGTTAATGCAAGACATTGGGGAGGAAGAATATATTTGTGAAATCTCAGAGACTGAATTTTAAGTAGACCTAACGTTTAGCCTGGCAGTCTGGTCCAAGCGTTTTCAAGGAGATATAGCCAGACTTTAAAACTATCGAATATAAACAGAAGGCTGTATACCAAATTGGTCATCCAATCATGTTAACACTGTTTACATGGTATTTGCTTCAGTGTGCAAAAGACATGTAATGTGTAACAAAGTGTTAAATTAATAGATTGTGTGTATTCATCAGAGGCGTGAGAAGAAATTTCATTCACTATCCGTCACCTCTGATTGGTGAATTTTTAAACGAAAACATACAGTTTTCAAATGTTATGTGGATCAGTTGTCACAGCATGCATAAAATGAAGGTAAGTAAACAAAACAAAAATAATTAGTGAATGAATGTTTGTGTTATTTTTGCTGTTCCAGCTAAGTATTCAGAATATTCAGATAAGATAGCATTGTTGTTCCTCAGATAATAATTGATAGATTGGATAGAATAATGAGTTTAGATTTACTTATTATTCATTAGTTGTTATGGGACAGCTAATTGTATTCCATCCCTCGTACTAATACTATTTCGATTTGCACATGTGTTTAGGATTTCATCTGTTGGTATCACTTTGTAAGAAATCAAATGTTTCTGAAAGATTCTTGTGACACTAAGATAAATTGTACGACACTACTCTATTGAATGTAATGATATGGGTGATTTTTTTCGAGCATTTTTGTGTCAACTGAGAGTTAAAAATTTGCATTTAGCATTTGTCTTCCTTTGCTCCCACAAGCAGCTGTCGTGATATTTCACCTGCATATATACCATCGCAATCACTACATGTGATTTCGTAGACAGTCTTTTGGTCTTCATATTATGTTGGATCTTTGATACAAACCACC